GCGAGTACAGCCGCTCGGGAGCAGTAGAGGATTTCGGGAGGGGGAGGCGCGGGGGGCACTCTGATACTTGCTTTTGTAATCTAACAACATTGTGTTAATAGTTTCTGACACATCATGGCGACAGACGCATCCTGATATATAAGTTATAGCTATAGGAACTGAGCATTGCGATTTTTTGGTATCCTTTGGTCCAAACGCGGTCCCTCTTTGAAATCACTTACGTTTACAGCACGTTATTCATATTAATCCAAATGATAATCACTCTCCGCGTGACGTCATGCGCGCCGGCGGACGAAAATCGAACAGCGGAGCATCCGGCACTGGGTAACATGTGTCTTCTGCCAGCACTGCACTATCGGCGATGATCGTTGATCGTGTGATCGTTCATAATAGGCGCGATCATCGTGCAAGCATCCACACGAGCGTTCGTAGCAGTTTGTCAAACGGCAAGCATCAATATGACACGGCGATTCCCTTTGATGCGTGTCCGAAAAACCGACAATTCACGGGTCGAAGGCGATCGTAGACGATGATCGGCGAGTACAGCCGCTCCGGAGCAGTAGAGGATTTCGGGAGGGGGAGGCGCGGGGGGCACTCTGATACTTGCTTTTGTAATCTAACAACATTGTGTTAATAGTTTCTGACACATCATGGCGACAGACGCATCCTGATATATAAGTTATAGCTATAGGAACTGAGCATTGCGATTTTTTGGTATCCTTTGGTCCAAACGCTGTCCCTCTTTGAAATCACTTACGTTTACAGCACGTTATTCATATTAATCCAAATGATAATCACTCTCCGCGTGACGTCATGCGCGCCGGCGGACGAAAATCGAACAGCGGAGCATCCGGCACTGGGTAACATGTGTCTTCTGCCAGCACTGCACTATCGGCGATGATCGTTGATCGTGTGATCGTTCATAATAGGCGCGATCATCGTGCAAGCATCCACACGAGCGTTCGTAGCAGTTTGTCAAACGGCAAGCATCAATATGACACGGCGATTCCCTTTGATGCGTGTCCGAAAAACCGACAATTCACGGGTCGCAGGCGATCGTAGACGATGATCGGCGAGTACAGCCGCTCCGGAGCAGTAGAGGATTTCGGGAGGGGGAGGCGCGGGGGGCACTCTGATACTTGCTTTTGTAATCTAACAACATTGTGTTAATAGTTTCTGACACATCATGGCGACAGACGCATCCTGATATATAAGTTATAGCTATAGGAACTGAGCATTGCGATTTTTTGGTATCCTTTGGTCCAAACGCTGTCCCTCTTTGAAATCACTTACGTTTACAGCACGTTATTCATATCAATCCAAATGATAATCACTCTCCGCGTGACGTCATGCGCACCGGCGGACGAAAATCGAACAGCGGAGCATCCGGCACTGGGGAACATGTGTCTTCTGCCTGCACTTCACTATCGGCGATGATCGTTGATCGTGTGATCGTTCATAATAGGCACGATCATCGTGCAAACATCCACACGAGCGTTCGTAGCAGTTTGTCAAACGGCAAGCATCAATATGACACGGCGATTCCCTTTGATGCGTGTCCGAAAAACCGACAATTCACGGGTCGCAGGCGATCGTAGACGATGATCGGCGAGTATGCCCTCTATACGATCGTGCTTGTCGATTATGAAGAGTAGCCATTTAGTACAAGTTTGAATTCGGGTGCAGTGGCAGATTTCGGGCGTCTGATACTTGCTGTTGTAATCTAACACCATTGTGTTAATAGTTTTTGACACATCATAGCGACAGACGCATACTGACTATAAGTCACAGCTATAGGAACTGAGCATTGCGATTTTTTGGTACCCTTTGGTATTCCAAACGTTGTCCCTCTTTAACATTACTTACGTTTATAGCACAATTCTTACGATTTATACGTACAGTAGAACCCCGATTATCCGAAATAATATGGACCCAAGTGCTTGTGGATAATCGTAATTTAGGATTAAATGGAAATAAATATTTAGACTCATCATGCTTTTATTGGAAAAAGTAAATGCGTGTGTTAAGTGAGTATATACCTATATAAAGTTACGTAAAATATAAACATGTGGATACAAATATACAGCCCAGTACGTAGTAGCTATTTCAAGCTTGCTGTTTTTTTTAAGGCTAACCTCTAGTATAACATTAATTGAAACTGAAACAAAGAGCTTTCCTAACAATAGGAGTCCGAAGTTGCCAGCCAACAAATTCCCTTCTAGTCTGGTAAACGTGAACAATTTTTCCTCTAAGTTGTGCACTGAAATGAACGGATCGATCGAATAAGCCCCCTCATCCTGTTTGAACTTGCAACCGTCAGTTTAAACACTACGCGTAGGAATGCAGTGCATCGTATATGCATTTTGAAAAAAACGGCTTGGCGAGCGGTAAAAATGAAGGGATCAAATGCAAATGTTAAATTTTTAGTGATTCTTTGAATTGCATACATTTATAAACCAGTCAAGTCAGATGAGGAAAAATGTTGGGAAAACATAAAAAACGTTTTTGATGTAAATAAATTCGATTTTCCGAAACAAAATTTTTTTCTTTGTCCTGTTTACTTTCTGATATACCTTGTATGGTCGATTTCTTCTAAAATAGCGAAAAAATATACGAGCTTCTAATCCCCATATTGACCCAAGAGATTCTTTATACACTAAGTGACATATAAATCCGAACACCCAGTTTAAATGGTTTTGTTTTAATAAAATTTTGTATAAGTACTTAATGAAGCATAATAAGTAAATGATAAAAATTTCAAAATGATTCCACTGCTTTAAAGCCCTTTGACCTTTAATAATGTGTGGATGCACCCTGATGTGCTACGCATTCTCCAACGCGCCTAGGCCTGCTTCTGATCAGATGGTCAATGTCCTCCTGAGGTATCTCATTCCAGGCAACCACCAACTCCTCTCGAAGTGCTTCTAGAGGAGGACGTTGCAAATTGAGCAATCTCCTACCCATCATATCCCACACGTGCTCAATTGGGGATAAGTCGGGAGATCTTGGTGGCCATGGTAACAATGTGACATCATTATGTTGAAAGAAGTCTATTGTGACTCTTGCAACATGTGGTCGGGCATTATCTTGTTGGAAAGTTGGATCTGCCACGGTGTCAAGATAGGGTAAAAGATGGGGTTCTAGAACTTCGTGGATATAACGCTGCGCGTTCATGTTACCTCTGATGAAGATTCAAGGTGACCTGCAACCATAAGCTATAGCACCCCAAACCATAACTCCAACAGTGTGATGAACATGTCTTTCAACAAAAAACTGTGGATTCCTCCTTTCACCACGTCGCCTTCTAACCCTGGCACGACCATCGTGCATGCCTAAACAAAATCGAGACTCGTCACTAAAGACAATACTGTTCCATTCCTGATCCCAGAGTGACCGTTGTCTGTACCACTCAAGGCGATGACGTCGGTGTTTTCGAGTTAAAGGGAGGACCCAGTGTGGCCGGTATGAAAACAAGCCAAAACTTCTCATTCGTCGGTAAACACTTCGCACGCCAATAGGTCTTTCGTGTTCTGCAAACCATTCACTTGCAATGGACCTGGTAGTGGAGAAACGGTCCCTTAAGGTCAATAATCTTAGGCGGCGATCTTCACAGTCTGTTGTTCTACGGCGGCGTCCAGTGCCCCTTGCTCTTTGCGTACGGCCTTCTCGAAGCCATGCCTGACAACACCTAACCACAGTGTCTACACTTCTTTGCACTCTAACTGCAATTGCCCGAAAAGAAAGTCCAGCTTCCCGAAGTCCCACTATACGGCCCCTATCAAACTCACTAAGTTGACGAAATCGTACAGGTCTCCGTACTCTAGGCATCGTAACCGATCGTAAAGGATGTCTAGAATCAAAATCCGCCAACGTTGATTCTTTACTGCGGCTGAAATATTCATTTTTAGAGCGTTAGTGAATTAAAAAAAGCAGTATAAAAACCGGAATGTCCAACTGGCTGAAAGTTTTTTCACTTGTTATTTACAGTAAGATAAATACATTCACCAACTTTTATTAAAATAAAACCATTTAAACTGGGTGTTCGGATTTATATGTCACTTAGTATAGTTATTCTTGAATCAAGATCACTCTTTTTTGTGTGTATGATACTCATATTCAGCGCCTCAAATTAGCTTATAGTACAAAGATTCGCTCACATGTATACTTCAGGAGCTATCAAGGTGTCCAAAAAAGCGTGAAGGATGCTTAAGTTGTTAGATTAGCCATTTTGAGCGAAAATATCATTACGTGTACATTTACACTTATTTTTCTGGTAACCTGTTGATTATACGATAAATGTTCTTATGGGCAAAATGATAAAGAATTTAATTTCCTACAAAACTGCTTTCATTACTTTTTTCCTATTGATTTTTTCTAGGTCGATTTAAAGCGTTTTTCAACATGAAATTCGGGCGCAATATTTTAACGATATCACCAGAAAAATGTACTGTCGCCAGAATTGTAGGAAAAAATTACCTATATCTTGATCTGTTATAGTTATCGAACAATTATCAGTATGTCGTCTGCTCCTGGCGGTGTCGGCAATAAAACTGAAATGTCCGTCGTTAATGGCGCGATAATTTATTTGTCCTTTCATTTTACGATTCCGAGAGTTACGGCAGGACCAAAGTGGAACTAGAGGCGATAAATCTCCTTTTAATAAAATATCGACCGAGATATCTTTGCTAGAGTCGTTACTCCTTTCCACCAGAAAATTTTATACGATTTCCCGGGCAGCTCTAAAAGGGTTTATGAAAAGTGAGCTTGATTCAAAGCGGGCTTCTGGGATACGGAATGTTATATACTAAGTGACATATAAATCCGAACACCCAGTTTAAATGGTTTTATTTCAATAGGAAGGAAAGCGGTACCGTTTCCGAAACTTTTTTATCGGCCGTCTCGCCGTTTATCGAAATATCGACTCGAGATCGGTCTCGTTCTATATATTAACTGATGTTCCATTTGTACAATATTCAAAATGCTTTTTCTTGTTGTTACAGGTAACAGCGGTTCCCTGAACGGCGCCCATTCATCGGAGTTCGGGTTTCCGGTAATACCGCCAGGAGGAGTGAAGGAAGCAGCTAACACTTTGGTGACCGCTTTGCAAGCAGTCACCAGTCCTCCACCTCCAGAGCCGCACGTCCTCAAAGTACTCTCCAGGTGGCTGCAACAGGTTAGTAGTTTTTTTGTCTCTTTTCAGACGAGAAACGTCGAAAATAACAGGGTTCAAAGGCTGGTTCAACAAGTGTTGCGACACTGCTCGTTAAGGCACACAGAACCTTCTTACAAAACCCCACTGTAGAGAACAGACAAGCCGACGTCGAATCCAGAAACAAATATGTATACAGGGTGTCCGCAAAGTTGGGGTTTTCCTTTTCCGAAACAACTATCCTTGAAATAACAAAGGTAATGTGTAGTGAAACGAGGGCGACCAAGTAAAAAAAATAAAGAAAAAAGTACTCACTCTCCAGTTGACGAGAAGGGCTAAGTACGTCTCTGCCCGAAATCATACCGCTCCAACAGAAAATGAAATCAGCTGATGCGCTACCGAGCAGACGCAGGCGGTGGTGCAGACCACGAACAGAGCTAACAAATATGACGGCGTTGCCGCGTTTTCAGTTTTTAGGTAAACGTACTTTATAGGTATTGTTCGAAGTTATAGCCGTTTGATTCAAAAACACAGGTGCGTGCACGACGTAGCCAAGCATCGGTGCAGGCTTTGAGAATGGAGTCTCTCCCCCGAATGAAAGCACCAGCTTGTTCAATTCTGAGACGAAGTTCGTCAACCGTATGCACTTCAGTTTTGTACACTAAGCGTTTCATTTCTCCCCAAAGAAAAAAATCACATGGTGTTAAGTCTGGAGATCGCGGAGGTCACGCTACGGCTCCATTACGTCCGATCCACCTATCCGGAAATAATTCATTCAAAAACTCACGCACTTCGCGTCTAAAATGGGGCGGTGCACCATCGTGCAGAGACCACATTGATTGTCTTACACTTAATGGCACATCTTCTAACAAGGAAGGCAAAATGTTGCGTAAAAAGTCTAGGTATTGCATGCCGTCCAATCGATTTGGGAGAATAAATGGTCCAATGAGCATACCGTTCACCATGCCAGCCCAAACATTCACCGAAAAAGTTTGTTGAAAATGTGCCCGACGGACAGCGTGCGGATTTTCTACTGACCAAACATGAGTGTTGCGAAAGTTATTCACCCCATTACGCGTAAACGTAGATTCGTCTGTCACCAATATGCACTTCAAAAAGTCCAGATTATTGTCATGTTGATGCAACAACCACTCACAAAACCGCACTCTTGCTGGAAAATCGTCAGGTTGAAGGGCTTGTACACGTTGGACGTGAAACGGATACAGCTCCTCTTCACGTAGCGTTTGCCACACTTTAGTTTTTGATACTTTCACTTCTCTAGCCACGTCTCTAGTGCTTGTTGAGGGATTCTCGTCTACGCGATTACCTCTACACGCGTGACCGTAACCGTCGGTTGAAGGTTGCATACTGACCTGACACACTGATCCCGACCCAGTTCTGTCATCGGGTTGAGCCAGTGACCTTGTACCAATCGGTGATGTCGCGGGTCGCGGCTTCAGGACGGTATTCAGATATTTTTGATGTTGCAGAGCCCTTTATCTCGGTTCCCTTAAGACATTGGTGTATATGGTACTAAGAAAAATTGCGTATGTTTTCAAGATCTACACGTCGTGTAAAGGAAAACCCCAACTTTGCGGACACCCTGTCCCATTTAAAAATCCAAAGTTGGAGTCGTTTCCGATCAAACCGAAGCTACTTCAAAGCAAGTGAATATAAAAATTGTAATACGCAACCTCCAAATTTCGTTTTTCCATCTTCAATAATAAAAAAGTTATATGGATGAGCCCTCTTGGAGAATCACCCGGTATACTTATCGGTATTTCACCAGATGCCTTCGTTAAATACTTCTTAAATCACTCGTACAAAGCGATACATTCTGATCGCGTCTGTAAGCAGAAACATGTTATCGCAACAATAAAATTCGATGTATAAAAATGTTAAAATACTTAGCAGAAGCAATTCAAGCGTTTATCCGATAGCGTTGCGATCGAAATATTTATAACTTATTTATCTTTCTGAATATTCCACGTCGCGAATGGAGAAATTGGATTATGCGGCTTGCCATCGAGTTGTAAAACTTGTTTATGGAAATATTCTACCAGCTTTTATTTCTCGTGCCGATAAATTTTCCGATATGCTATTTGAGGATGTTCGTGAGGAACTCAAAATGAGAAATATATTAAAATACTTATTTTTTGAACGGGTCAGTTTAGCATGCTGAAATTCGAACTGATGAAATTGATGCATACTTTATTTTATACCCCATTTGTAGTCCATTTACGCTCAGACAAAACACAACATGCCCAAAAGCGAGATTGTACAGGTCCGTATTTTTCTCAATGTCTTGGAATAATCTAACAAAATAAATGTTTATTTTCATAGAAAGAACTTTTTACAAGCCTTTATTCGCTGTAAGTACTTGAATCATCGCCCGAATTATTAATTATTACATGTTAAATTTGAATATCGAACATATTGTCCAGCAAAGATTTTTTGATGAGTGAAATTGATAAGAAAACAAGTAATATAGTAGTGGAATATTCACATGTAATTTTAGAGCTACTATTATTTGTTAACAAGTTGCGATTGAAGAAAAAATGCATAAAAATTCACAAATATGCATCTTTGAGACAGTCTGTTGAAAGAAGAGACATGCGACGTTAAGGGCTAGAGAAGTTTTAGACTCTAAATTTACTACCATCATTGTTTAAATGTTGATATGCGGGTTGTCAAACTGAACGCTGAAACAATGCATCTTTTGTATCTACTAATGTTGCTGTTACTGATTTTTTTTTTTGGAAATTATCGATTTGTGGAAGCGTATTTTAACAATTCCATTCCCTTAACAAGTTTCCGATATGACTTTAAGCAAATTGCAATGTTTTGAGTGTTGAAATGTACCACAAATACAGGGTGTCCGCAAAGTTGGGGTTTTCCTTTACACGACGTGTAGATCTTGAAAACATAAGCAATTTTTCTTAGTACCATATACACCAATGTCTCAAGGGAACCGAGATAAAGGGCTCTGCAACATCAAAAATATCTGAATACCGTCCTGTAGCCGCGACCCGCCGCGATATCCCAGACTGGTACCGGCTACTAGCTGAACCCGACGACAGAACTGGGTCAGGGGTCGGGGTCAGTGTGTCAGGTCAGTATGCAACCTTCAACCGACGGTTACGGTCACGCATGTAGAGGTAATCGCGTAGACGAGAATCCCTCAACAAGCACTAGAGACGTGGCTAGAGAAGTGCAAGTATCAAAAACTAAAGTGTGGCAAACGCTGCGTGAAGAGGGGCTGTATCCGTTTCACGTCCAACGTGTACAAGCCCTTCAAACTGACGATTTTCCAGCAAGAGTGCGGTTTTGTGAGTGGTTGTTGCATCAACATGACAATAATCCGGACTTTTTGAAGAGCATATTGGTGACATACGAATCTACGTTCACGCGTAATGGGGTGAATAACTTTCGCAACACTCATGTTTGGTCAGTAGAAAATCCGCACGCTGTCCGTCGGGCACATTTTCAACAAACATTTTCGGTGAATGTTTGGGCTGACATGGTGAACGGTATGCTCATCGGACCATTTATTCTCCCAAATTTGTCATATTTGTTACCTCTGTTCGTGGTCTGCACCACCGCCGGCGTCTGCGCGGTAGCGCATCAGCTGATTTCATTTTCGGTTGGAGCGGTATGATTTCGGGCAGAGACGTACTTAGCCCTTCTCGTCAACTGGAGAGTGAGTACTTTTTCCTTTATTTTTTTTTACTTGGTCGCCCTCGTTTCACTACACATTTCCTTTGTTATTTCAAGGGTAGTTGTTTCTGAAAAGGAAAACCCCAACTTTGCGGACACCCTGTATAGTGTGGAGACTTTCTAACAAAATCTCGTTTTTTCCAGGTAAGCACTAATTCTTACAACCATTTGGTAAGTACTTAGAATAGTAACTTAAAAAATATGTTTGCAACAACTTCAGCGTTTGTAAGATTTTTTCAGCTCTTATTATTATTATTTTCTCTAAAATATAGCTTCCAGTAAAACGTCTACAGGTAGCACCAGTGTTGTGATACTTTGACCGTTATATAGTCAGGTAAGTCCATTTACAGCTCATACGTCTGTATCAAGGATGAAATAATAATAAATTAATTCAGAACAATATTTATTATAATTACTTTTATTTGTTTGGTAAAGTTTGACAGTTATATAGTCAGGTAAGTCCATTTACAGCTCATACGTCTGTATTAAGCATGAAATAATAAATTAATTCAGAACAATAATTATAATTACTTTTATTTGTTTGGTAAAGCCAACCTCCGTCAGGCCACGTTATTTAGACAAAAACCGGACAATGCAGCTAGGAAATTTATGTTTTCTCATTTACGAGTATTCCTTCGCTCTTGTTGTGAGGTTTCTCCACTAATTAATATAGGACAGACATTTTCGAAGTAAGATAGTTCAGTAAAACCGAGTTACAGATTGTTATAGGAAAAATGGAGTCGAGTAGATATAATCAGTACTTTCCAGACTTCGGTCGGATACGAATCCTGAATACTGTATTTTAAATTGCAAAAAGTATTCGAATACTGCTATTTTGAATACCATATTTAAATGAATACTTTTCCAATTAAAAAAACATATGCGCAAACTTGATTTTTATTTATGTACTTGCCTTATAATAAATATATAAAAAGTTAAAAATACGTGACTATGTGAAATAAAAATTTAAAGACAAAATAACAATTTGATCCACAATGTCACAGTGACGTTGGACAAATTAATTGTATAATAAAAAACATTTTTTGATTTTTATTAGAATGTTTACCTTTGCCTAGCTACTACAGTGAATGCACAATGCAATATTCATAAGAATAGCCAAGTATTCGAAAACAGAATTCGAATACCGGAGATTTGAACACAACGCGGTATTCAGAATACAGAATACCAAATACTGTCCAAAAAGGTAGTCAGTCGACTACCAAATACCAAAAACAAATTTATTGGAATAATATCCGAATACCAGCCAAATGTATTCTGAATAGGATTCAAAATACCAAGATTCAAATACTAGCGAAATGACTTTCAAATTACCGATACTTAAATATTGAAATTCGCGATATACAGGTGCTCATCAAATACATATAAGTTTTTTTTCTACCTAAATAGCTCTAAAGTGGCTGGGAACTTGGAAAACGGTGAAGCACACTGAGGTTGGCAATTTTTCAAAATGTTGATTGCAACAAAAGAGGAACGGAAAGGAAATGTTTTTTTTTTTAGATTCAATTGAAAGAGTTCACATGAACGAAAAAACTTTTTATATAAGATTTTTGGGTATTTATGAGACGTAAAAAATGAGACCACACATACAAAGATCTGACTAATGGCAAAAATATTATGGCCTAAAAGCGCAGGTGCTGGCACTTGTTGGTAATGCGACGATTATTTCACGCAAGTACTTGAAATTCTTCAAATCTGTAGGATTCATACGTCTAAATAACAACAACAAAATTGGATTATTAGTTTTTCAGAATTTCTAATTGTTTTGCGGTCATCACTACTAGTTTATTGAGCAATATTCGGTTCGTTCACAGAGCATTTAATAGCAAACTTCACGTGTTTACGTTGCCGATATCAATCACAAACTATCTTGAAAGATAAATGTTATTTTCATGCGAAAAACAAAGGTTCCGTCTTTTCTTCTAAATAAATGCAAACATTTCGTATTTGTGAGTAATTGGACAAATTGGCTACGATATTTGAAAAACAAACGTTCCTGCCTACAATTTCGTATGAATCCCAAAAAACACGTTTTCTCATTCTTTGTTGTCGAGTAAAGAGTTTTCCGACAAAAATTGGTGTACCCATTTTATGCATCCATATTTTGAATACGCCCTTTTGAACAACTTGCAGCGATAAAACCAGACTTTACAATTATTTCGTAAACCTGGTGTATTTTTGTCTAAAGACTATAGGGAATTTTTGCTATATCAACTGCTTTTGACTCTGACTTTGAAAACACCCTGTATAACATTTGTCCGACTACTGGTAGTCTCCGGGTTAATGGCACACTCACCCTATTTATAATCAACTCCTATTTATATTACAAAAATTATCAAGGCTTTAATACTGACAATAAACTTTTCCTAAAAGTTAATCATCAGGTACGTTTACATGACAAGTTTCGTACAATAACCTACTTTTCTCTTTGATCGATTCACTGGGCTATTTATTATAAAAGTTGATGGATAAGTTTCGCAAACGTTCACTAATGACTGCAGCATCCAGTTTACAATTTATGAACGTCGCCGTTGTGCAGCAGCCCGTATTGCATGTTGTACATGTACGTAATGGGTGAAAGCGCCAAAAAGTTCATCGAAACTATCGTTGCCTGTGACCAATTAGAATATTATGGGCTTAATTGAGTTTCAAGGCCAGTAGACGCACACTCGAGTAGTACAGTACTACCATTGTTTACTTTTAAGTACCATCGAGGACGTGCATTGACGAGCAAGGGACAGGTCTGGAATATCTTGTCCGGGACACTGTTTGAGGTAGGTCCAGTGATCAAAGAGATTATCGTGTAAATCATCTGTTATTTGTCATCGACTGGTTAGACAGCCGTTCTTTGAAAAGCATCAAGCACGGATAGTGTAGTCGGAGCAGCAGTACCACAGACACACCCCGTGTAAAGCCAGTTTTTTTTTTGGAAAAAGTACACGGTCAGGTCTATACCAACTTTAAACAAGTACTTAATTGGTTACCTTGCTTCTAAAACCTTGTACCTTGACTAACAAGAAGCACCTTGTCATTCATCCGGTTTCGATGGATTGTCAAGTTCTGTCAAGGAGCCGTTCAGCCCGGCTGGTCGGAGTCCAGATCGCCAAGGACTTGATCTGGCACGAACACATCTCGTCAATAGTGGCAGCTGCTGGGAGACACCTACAGTAAATTCAGATAAGGGATAGACCGGACATAAACAAGACCACGTGATCATCGAACGCTGTAACATTCGGCAGGGACGTATTAAGAGTCACGCAGTACATATTTTAGATAGTAGATGCTGCTTTGCGTAACTTTGTAGTAAATTAACACAATTCGATGTGTATACGATTGGTGATGGATATAGGATCATGTGGGGGTGGGGTAAGAAATATATAATGATGTAAATATACATAAGGGTTTCAAAATTTTCGCTTCGATTTCCAGCTTCGGATGCCGCCTGATGTTTGGTGAAATACAGTCGAATATAATCTCAAAATGGCGTTTAAATTAGCCTAAATTAAAAATAATCGTATATCTCTTAAAATTGCTTTTAGAATATTGATTAGTATATTTTTAGATTTCTAGGTAAATATGTAACCAAATTAAAACGTTCAAAACGTAAAAAAATGTGCATGGTTGAACATTGTCAGAAAGTAGATTCTTGAATAGGTTTTGCCAAAATGGGTTCAAAAATGTCAATAATTAATTAAAAAATACAGTAGCTTTATAATTACTTATAACTTACCGAATTTGATGAACGACATCTTTTATTGGAAAGATGAGCTTGATGAGCTTGATGAGCTTTCATCATCGCTACTGCCTGAAGCACCAACGTCAATAATGAATGGCTCGACTTGTTCCTCTAAAATATTGTCCAGTTCCCACATTCTCTTTTCAACTTTGTCTTTCACGTGCTTAATACAGTTTTCCCATTTTTGCGCTGTTATTAATTCTAGTGCTTCTTTGAAAAGTCCTTTGAGGTCACAAAATTTAAAAGTTGTATTGTGCTTAGCTATATAATTTTTAACCTCTGCCCATATGAGCTCAATGGGATTGAGCTCGCAATGGTATGGAGGTAAACGGAGCACAGTTTTATTTTGACTTGCTGCCATTTCGTCAATGGCGTATTTTTGATATTCCGCCTTGTGATCCTTGACAATTCTTAATAATTGTACTTTCAGCATTGCTTCTTCAAAGTTGATATTTTTCGAGCGGAGCCAATTTTGAACATCAACTTTCCTTGAAGCCGTTGTTGGGACCTCTTCATTCTTCGAGAATGATAAGGCGCATTATCCAACACAATTACTGCGTTTTCCTCTAAGTTCGGTAAAATTTTTGAAAACCACTGTTCAAACGATTCGCCATTCATTTTCTCGTGGTAATCTCCAGTTTTCTTAGACTCGAAGCACCACAGACCGTCAACAACAAATCCATCCTCACTGCCAATATGGCAGATAATGAGCCTTTTCCCTTTACCTGGAAATCGAAGTACTAACTGGTGTAGATTTATTTCAATAAGCGAACCTTTTTCAAATGTTTTCATCACATTCAGCGAAAAAACATTGAGACATGAGTATCAGATTGCTATAATTGGGATTATTTTTTAGTCATATTGAAAGAAAGAATATTGAACGTCGTATGATTACTCAGCGCTTCACAATTTAATTTAAAGTTAAAAACCTTTAAAAAATGAATGATCAGGAACCTGAAATACGCGCAAATATTAATATTAACAAATTATAACTTTATAAAGCTTAAAGTATGAATTAAAATGATTAGAAATATTAGGAACGGTAGACAATATAAAACTTAGTAACTTTTTTTAAGTTTATAATATTCGACATATTTTAAGATTATATTAAAAAATTATTGAAATATCGAAAACACATAAAAACATGGCTTAAAAAAGTTCTAACAAATGAAAATGACAATAAAACATCCACGCATTTTATCGAAAGTTATAAAAGTTTTGTTACTTGTAATATGTTTTATCTGCCCCCTGGAATTAATGTTTAGAACCTTGTTCCCAAGGTTTGAAAAACTTCCGATTGTTGTCTATTACTCGTATTTACCTGCTGGATTTTGTAATCCGGTGGACAGTCCATCTAGAAAGGCCCTCCTGGATGAAGTTACAGAATCATCAACCCATACTTTACTTGTAGTGTGTCCTGCGTTTACCCACGTTTCATCAAGGTAATAAATCTTCCTGTTTTGATTTCTATATTTCCCAATTT